TGTGTGGGAGGGGTAGGGCACAGATAGGGGTCTGTTGGGGACGGGTCCTGGGGTGGGGAATTGGAAGGCGCGAAGATCTGATTCAGCTTTTTTCTCCCCCGCCAGGACACTTGCCGCTCCCCCCACGTGCAGACAGCCGGGGCTGTAACGCGAAGGACTCGTGCCCACACCCTTGGGTGAGAGGCAGAAAGGGGGGTGTCATTGACTCGCCGGGGCACGGACAAGCCGGGCGCAGTCATTGCCCCTTTAAAGGAGTCTGTCGCTGTTTGATGAGGTCACACGCCCCATTCCGAGCCCCGGGAAGGGCGGGTCCCTGAGATGCTGATTCAGGGGCGGGCGGGGCCTCCTGCGTCGCGTGGTGATAACGTCAGCGCCTTAGCGACGAGCGGTTGCTAAGGGTGCGATGGACGCTACCTCCCGGCCGCTCCGTGTGCCCCCGGAGATGGGCATTTATGCGGAAAAGCACGAGCTCTTCCAGCTCCTGCAGGTGAGGGGCGGGGCGGGGAGGCCGCAAGTCCCTTCGCCCGCTGGTGATACTGCTGGGATAACAGTGCTCCCCCCGCCCCCCGGGGGACACCTCCCAGTATGTACTGGGGCGCCCAAGTGCGTGGGTGGGTATGGTGGTGGTGAGAGCAGTAACTCTAGTTCCCCGCGTGCCTGGAGGGGCCCAAGCCAGAAGTGAAGGGAGGGGGGTGGTGGTAACAACTATAGTTCCCAACATGCACCAGCATTGGTTGGAGGGGGGACCCCCTGTAAAGAGGACTGCTCCCAGCAGGCATTGGGGTGCCCAAGCGCATGTGGGGTGGGGGGGTACTTAACAATTCCCAGCATTGGTTGGACTGCACGCACTCAGCATATGGTGGGTCCTGCCCCATGTGTGTGGGTTTAACAGTTACTCCCACCATACACTGGTATATTTGGACATATTGATGATTCCTAGCACACACTGGGTAACCCTGCTCCAGGCCTGGGGTTACCCAGTGCAGACTGTTCCTGAGTACCAACATGCCACAGTATATTTGAGGGCATGGAGTGTAATGACTGTTCCCAACATGTAGTAGGGTGCTCAGAAGAGGTGTATAAACCATTCCCAGCATACAAGGGGGTACCCTGAGGGTGGGGGAAAGTGTCATGACCATTCCCAGCAAGCAGTTGAGAGCTATGGGGTGGATGGGTTCAGAACCATGAAGAGTGATGCTAGCACTTGCTGGGGTGCACCTGGCAAAAAGAGAAGCAATGATTCCTAGGGTACATCGGGGCACCTCTGATATACAGTTGGGCACTTTTGGTGCAGGCAGCACTTACAACACAAGGTATCTTACCACATCTTTCAAGATATATTTATGCCTGTATTTGTAATTTTCACTCCATGCATCTGAAGAAGTGGGGTTTTTTACCCATGAAAGCTTATGCCCAAATAAATCTGTTAGTCTTTAAGGTGCCGCTGGACTCCTCATTTTCTTTCACGATGGAGCACTGTTTATGTCTGCAGCATGAGGTGTTGTCAAATTAAACACAAGGAAATACTAATCTCTTTGTATCCCCCATATATCTAGGTGTATCATTATTTATTTAAGCACTATGATTCTTTACTTTTCAAACACTATCTTTGGGCTTGCTACTCTGGAAAACTTAGATGACACTGTCCCTGTCTCAAGGAAATTGGACAAGCTATATGCTAGAAAAACATAATGCATTGGCTATCAACCAGGTTTAATTGCAATATATAATTCTGCAAAAATGTTGACTGTCTGTGGA